CAGGGGAAGGGCTGAGCAGGCTGGGAGCAGGGATGGAGTAGGGATGGAGCAGGGATGGAGCAGGGATGGAGCAGGGATGGAGCAGGGATGGAGCAGGGATGGAGCAGGGATGGAGCAGGGATGGAGCCGGGATGGAGCAGGGATGGAGCCGGGATGGAGCAGGGATGGAGCAGGGATGGACACAGGGATGGAGCAGGCACAGAACAGGCTCAGAGCAGGCACAGAACAGGCACAGAGCAGGCTCAGAGCAGGCTGCCCGTGGTGTGTGCAGATGCTCCAGTCCCTGAAGCATTGGCAGCTCTGGGGGAAGCAATTCAATGAGCACTCGGGGCCTTGGGAACAGGCTGTGCAGGCTGGGAGAGGAGGAATGCCAGTGGAGGAGGGCTCGGGAATGCTGCTGGGTTAGGGAGCCCTCCCAGGGACTGCTTTTCTCCAGCAGTGGAAGGACAAGGGGAACGGTTTCCAACTGACAGAGAGTAGGGCTGGGTTAGATACGAGGAAAAAACTGAAGTGTCACCAAGCTGGTGGCACTAACAGCATTGCTGTCCTACCCTGGCTTGCCTTGTGGGCTAAATCTTTAACCAGATCAAGGGTTTAACTTTATCAGTAGCTGCAAAAAGGTGGCACCACTTCCCTGGGGCAAAGTATCTTGATCCCTGCAGAAATCCCTTTTCCTGGGCCTCACTCAGCAGCTCCTTTGGCATGGGGACCCGTGGGACCCTGTGGGGCAGGGAGCACCCAGTGCCTCACACCACACCTGGGCTCCCAGCTGCTTTTCCCTCCAAAATCAGATTTTCACAGCCCTGAGGAGCTGGCACTTCCCCTGGCAGGGTGGGTACCTGGTCATGGATTGCCCTCCAGGTGGGCAGTGCAGGAGGGAAGCCACCCCCGGAGCAGAGGCTTCTGTGTCCCCTCAGGGGAGCCCCCCAAAATCCCCCAGCCCTGGAAAACCTTGCACATCCCCTGCCCAGAGCAGGATGATCGATGGTTGTTATTAGAGGTGCAGAACAGTTTCTGTGCACAGCCAGGTGGCTCAGGAGCAATTCGTCACCCAGCGGCGAGGGGGGCCGGGCTGTCCCTCTGTCCCTGCCGGGGTGGGAGCTCTCTGCAGCCCGGCAGGGTGCGAGGGGCTCCGGGCACGGCCGGATGAGCCCAGACTGATGGGCACGGGCAGGGCTCGGGCACCGCCGCAGGGCAGGGCTCCGACCGAGCTGATCCCCGCTCCCCGGGGCATCCCGCGGGATACGGGGCGGGACGGCAGCCCCCAGCCCCAGGCCAGCCCCCAGCCCCAGGGCAGCCCCCAACCCCACGGCAGCCCCCAGCCCCAGGGCAGCCCCCAGCCCCACGGCAGCCCCCAGCCCATCCATCCCCAGGACAGGGATCCATCCCCACAGCAGGGATCCATCCCCAGGGCAGGGATCCATTCCCAGGGTAGGGATCCATCCCCAGGGCAGGGATCCATCCCCATCCCCACAGAAGGGATCCATCCCCAGCCCCACGCCAGGGGTGACCCCCATCCTGGTGCCCCCATCCCGGTGATGCCCTCACACAGCAGAGGGGCTGCGAGGCGGGGAGGGGTCTCTGGGAGCACCCGCAGCCCCCGGCAGAGGGGTGCTGGGGGCAGTGCCAGGCGGGCAGTGCCAGGGGGGCAGTGCCAGGGGGACAATGACAGGGGGGCAGTGCCAGCCCGGCCCGGGGCTCAGCTGGCAGGGACACGGCACAGCCGGCGCGGGCGGCGAGGGGGGGCTGTAATGACGGTCCAGCTCAGCAAAGGTAGCAGAGCATGAAAGCAATTTCACACTTTATTAGACAATTCAGGTGCCAGCTGCACCAGCCTGGAGCGAGCGCTGCTGTTCACGGCTCCTCTCCTGCTCCGCAGCCCCGGGCTGGCTCTCCGTGGGCTCAGCCCTTCCTCGGGCCACGCTGGTCCTGGTGGGCATGTGGGGGGCCAGCGAGGGTGGCCGGGGGGCTGCTCCTCGTGGGCCACCAAGGGCAGGTGGCAGGGAGCATTGCTCTGCTGGGAGCCAGCTCAGCCTGGCAGCGTGGGCAGCTCCGTGCCTAAAGCCACTTGGGCTGGCTGTGCCCTCCAGCCCAGGGCAGCCACCCTGCTCCTGCCGGCTCTTTTTGCCCTTCCAGCACCCCGTGGTGAGGGGATGGCTCTGGCATTGGGAGCCTGGGCTTGGGGCTTGTGGCAGCTGCTTTTTCTCACACCTCCTGCCCCCGGGGTGCCCCAGCAGAGCCGATGGGCACACGGACACCTGGGCACTCAGCCCTGCTCCTGGCATGCCGGGATCTCACCGGGGATGTGTCCCCAGGGAGCTGCAGGCTCACAGAGCTGCTCTGGGCACGCGGCCGGGCTGGCACCCGCGCCCTGGGGACACGGCCACGCACTGTCACACCCGCGGGTGGACAACATCCAAATGCCTGCACGTCCAGGATGTGAATCAGCCCCGACAGGAGCCGAGCTGCCCCGGAGCTGCTCCTGCAGCCAAATTCCGGCCGGGCTGGCGGGCAGCTGCCACCTCGGATCAGCCCCGGGCACGGCAAACCCCTGGCCTGGCATGCACTTCCCTGTTTGCACGGCTCTGTTTGCCCATGCCAAGCCGTGGCACGGTGGCAGCGGGCCAGGGCCGTGCCTAACCTTGACCCGGGCTCCTGGCGAGCAGCCGGCCCTGCCCAGCTGTCCCCCCGTGCCCCTGGGCACAGGCATGTTCCACCCGGCCAGCCAGAGCATTCCTCCCGGGAGAGCCTGTCCTTGGCAGGCTATTTAAAGGCACACTTGTGCCCTTTATCCCCCTCATGTTTGGGCTGGAAGAGCCCCGTGCCCTCCCGTGACTCCAGAGGGCATTTCCAGGCTCAGGGCAGCAGCAGTGCCGTGAGTTTGGGTGAATTCACAGAAGGGAGGGATGCAGGCAGCCATGCAGGCTATTTAAAGGCACACTTGTGCCCTTTATCCCCCTCATGTTTGGGCTGGAAGAGCCCCGTGCCCTCCCGTGACTCCAGAGGGCATTTCCAGGCTCAGGGCAGCAGCAGTGCCGTGAGTTTGGGTGAATTCACAGGAGAAGGGAGGGATGCAGGCAGCCACGTCCTGCAGCCAAGTACCAGCCCCTGTCCTGGGGACAGACCCCTGGGAAAGCTCCCCTGGCCATCGAGGCTGGCAGCAGGGCTGGGGGGAACTGCAGAGCCCAGCTCACCCCTTGGCACCCACAGGCTGGGGGAGCCACATGAACTCATTGCCCTCTTCCTGCTGGGTGTCCAGCCAAGCCCTGACCACCCCAGCCATGACCACCCATCTCTGACCACCCATCCCTGACCACCCATCCCTGACTACCCAGCCCTGACCACCCAGCTCTGACCATCCCAGCCCTGACCATCCCAGCCATGACCACCCATCCCTGACCACCCATTCCTGACCACCCATCCCTGACTACCCATTCCTGACCACCCAGCTCTGACCATCCCATCCCTGACCACTCAGCCCTGACCACCCCAGATCTCCTTCCAGGGGGAAGATCAGGCCCAGGCTCACACCCCGTGTGCCACTGTCACCTTTCAGCCTCCGAAGGGTCTCAGGCACCCCAGGGCTGTGGAGCAGGACCTGCCCAATGCTGCCATGGCTGGCACGGGGCTGACTGCTGGTGCACCCCACCGAGCTGGCAGGAAGGTGACCCGGGAGGGAAACCCGACCTGATGGGATGGAAAAATCCAGAGGAGCTGCCTGCAGGGAGCTGGGGGGTGAGCCCTGTGGCTGCAGGGCCTGGGCTGGGGGGGCAAGCACACCCACAGCCCCTGCTCATGACCTTCATCCCCACCTACTCATCTTCCCTTGCTGAGGAGCCCATCAGCCCTTCCCCAGGCTGGAGCATCCCCAGGACACGTCCCCAGCTCTGGCACCGCTGTCCCCTCCCAGGTTTGGTGTAGCTGAGCATTTCCTCGGGCATTCCAATGGCACCTGGGCAGAGGTGGCTGCCCCCCAGGCACCCCACAGGTACAGGTGGAAGGAGGGTGAGCCCCTGACAGCAGACCCCAGCCCCACACGGGGCAGTGCCCGGGGCTGTCCCCACCCGCCTGGCACCTGCTCAGGGTTGGGTGAGGAGGTGCCAGCCCTGCCCAGCCCGCACTGGGGAGCCCGTGGGTGGCCGGGCGTGCTGCTGCCCCCGGGCACGGCACGGCACGGCACGGCACGGCAGGACAGGGCAGGGCAGGGTTCGGCGTGCCAGCGCTCGCCAGCCCGCACGGGCACCTTTGATGCGGGCAGCGCCAGGAGCCCGGGGCAGCCGCGGCGACGCCAGCCGGGTGCTCCGCTGGCCCCGGTGAGGGATGGGCAGCGTGCCGTGCCAGCCCTGAAGTCCCCTCTGGCACCATGGCACGGCTGCCCACCTCAGCCCCTCAGCACCTGCTAACAGCGCAACCACGGGGAAACTGAGGCACGGACACGCCGGGAATGGCGGGAGGGGGCTGCGTCCGCTCTCAAGGCGAGCCTTGGGTCAGGACCAACACCGATTGCCCCAAAAACCTCTTCCGTGGGACCTGCCTCAACCCGCCGGGGATCTGTGCGGGTCGCAGGGGGACGGGGGTCCCGGGGGTGGCGGTGTCGGTCCCGGAGCACAGAGCGGACCCGGGCGGGGGTCCCGGGGGTCCCGGGGGTGGCGGTGTCGGTCCCGGAGCACAGAGCGGACCCCGCCGTGCCCGCGCTCCCCGCACCAGCGCTCCCAGTTGGGGCCCGGCGGGCACTGGGAGCTGGCGCGGGGCTCCCTCTGGCGGCCGCGGCCAGCGCTGCCAGCGGCTCCGGCACTCGGTGCCCGGGAGACAAATCCTCAGGTACTGAGTGCCCAGGCAGCATAATTCTAAGGTGCCTAGGTAGCCAAATTCTCAGGTGCCCAGGGAGACAAATTCTAAGGTGCCTATGTAGCCAAATTCTGAGGTACTGAGGTGCCCAGATAGCCAAATTCTCAGGGGCCCAGGTAGCCAAATTCTCAGGTACTGAGATGCCCAGGTAGCCAAATTTTCAGGTGCCTGGGTGCCCAGTTTCCCAGGTACTGGGGTGCCCACGTAGCCAAATTCTCAGGTGCCCAGATAGCCATATTCTCAGGTACTGAGGTGCCCAGGTAACCAAATTCTCAGGTGCCTAGGTGCCCATTTTCCCAGGTACTGGGGTGCCCAGGTAGCCAAATTCTCAGGTGCTCAGGTGCCCAGTGCCCGTCTGCCCAGTGCCCAAGTACTCAGGTGCCCAGGTGCCCCAGTGCCCAGGAGCTGTGCCCAGGTGTCCCAGTGCCCCCTGCCTGGCTGAGGACCCCTGTGCAGTGCTGCTCCTCTGCTGTCACTCCTGCCCTAAGCAGGGACACGCTGCCTCACCTCCCCAGGACACGTTTGTCACCTGCAGGGATTTCAGCAGATCCCTGGATCACTGCAGCCACTGCCCTCACTCCCTGGTGCTGCTTTGCTTTGTGCCAACACAGCACCTGGCACCCTCACACCTCAAGGGTGCCTCCCAAGTGCCATCCTCGTGTCCCTGGGCCACGTCCCCCAGGTGCCTCCCACCCCCTTCCCAGCCGGGGGCTGCCTCCCTCCAGCATCTCCTGTGAGGATTCCTCGGGTGCCAAGCTGCCCTCCGTGCCCTTGCTGGGGCTGGCACGCTCACACGGGCAGGCTCCAGCCCGCGGGGTCCTGCGCGGGGACGGTCACCAGGTAGCTGGAGGGCACGTAGCCCCTCTGGCCGTCCACCTCCACCAGGCTCCACTCCGGGCTGCCCTTCTTGTCGTGGGGCTCCAGCAGCAGCACGGGCTGCCCTGCCCGCACGCTCAGCTCCTGCGGGCTCCGCGCTGCGAAGGAGAAACCGGCCACCACCTGGGGGAGAGAGGGAGGGATCAAATTAATCTCACTATGAGCTTTAGCTCGGAGCCAGCTTGTTACAAAGCTCTCAACAAGAGGGAGTCCTGGCTGGAGCTGGGAGCCTAGAGAGGAAGGATGTGGCAGTTCCCAGAGGGCAGCACAGCAGTGCCATGGATGGATGGACTGGGCACCCACCAAGGTTCACCCTGGTGCCAGCAGGGGGGACACCTGGAAAAGCAGCTCAGCCTTCCCACCCACACCAGGGCTAGCAGGGAGCTGGTGGCGTTGCTAGAAATGGCCCCAGGGGTGTCCCCCGCTCTCACCTGGAATGTTGGGGTGAAGGTGGCCACCTGTGGCCTGGGGGCTTCAGGGGGAGCATAGGAATGTCTCCTTCTGTCCGTGCCACCGTCCAGGCCCAGCAGCTGCAGCACAGGCTGCTGCACCTGCACGGGGCTGTAGGGCCGGAGTTTGGCAGCAGGAACAAACCCTCGGGGACCTGCAGGACACACACACACACAGGCCATGGGGCCCTGCTGCCTGGCACACACACACGGGCTGGAGGAGACAGGAATGACAATTTGGCTGTCCTGGCATGGCACAGCAGCCCTGTCCAGCACTAGGGGATATCCAGGAGAAATCCCCACCAAAAAGGGAATTCCATGTTTCTGTGTGCATGGATTCTCCTTCCCCAGCCACGACATTTCCCCTGGGGAGTCAATCAGGACACCTGAGCCTTGGAGCTGATGGCAAAGCTCAGGTGGCCTTGGGCTGAGCACAGCCTGGAAGGGAGCACCAGGAGACCATGGCTGCTTTATCCAGGGTAAGGAAATGATTCAGGTGAACCTGGCCCTGGTGCCCAGGTGAGGAGGGGCTGCCCACAGCACCCACAGCACCCACAATGCCCACAGTACCTCCAGCATCCACCAGCCACCTGCTGGTGTTGCCCTTGGTGTCGGCGCTCTGCAGCAGAGCCACGATCTGTCCCCTCAGCAAGGTCAGGTCCAAGTCCCTGCTGCCACTGATGTTGCTGGTCACTTGGTAAAGCTTGTCTGGGCCGTGCTTGCTCACAAGGGAAAGGACCTTCCTCTCCTCGGCAGGGGTCAGGGGCTGGTGGGGAGCACGAGACACACGAGCATTCCATGAGACCCTCAGGGTGCTGAGGCCCTCCAGCCCTCTCCTTTCTGCATCCTTTCTCACATCCCAGGGACAGCTTGAGAGCACAAACTCCTCCACACTCCCTGCTCCACCCCCAGCTTTGGAGATGAGTGTCCAGAACCAGCAGAGCTCTTTCATCCCTGGTTATCCCCAGCTCCCAGGGGCTTGGGGGGATACTGTGGCAACCCCCTGAGCCCACCCTGAGCCACCTCCCCACCAAGGGCATTTTCTGCACTGGGCAGCCACAGTCCAACCCCTCTCTCTATCCAGCTGGCCTGCCCAGCCCCTACCTGTGTGCCAGGGCTGGGTGCCACGGTCTCAAAGGCCTGGCAGAAGGCACGGAGCTGAGCCCCCGACTGCTGCAGGCTGTCCTCCACCACCTTCCAGAAGCTGGGCAGGGGCATGTGCCCATGGGGCAGCTGTGGAGACAGCCTGGGATCAGGAGGGCTCCGAGAGAGGAAGAGCTCTGGGCAGGGCCAGAAGGGAGGCAGGAGGCAGGAAAGGGGTGAGAGAGCAAGAGAGCAGACCTAAATTCACTAAATTCACCTTGCACAGGGGATCAGAGGTGCTCTTCTCTGGCACCTTCTTCTCCTCCTGGTGCTGGCTCAGGCCAGGGCTGTGCTCCACCCCAGGGCTTCTGACAGCCCTCCCTCCCCGGGTTTGCAAACACCAGTGAGGAGTTTAGAGCAGGGAGGAGTTCTGGGAGACATCTCCCAGGGGATGGGGCTGAGGGAGGCTGTTCCCTAGCCCAGGAGCTGTATTTCTCCTCCCTGCCTTCCTGGCAGAGGCTCCCAGGGGCTCTGAGCTCACACTGATCTCTCAGACAGCAGCACATCAATAAATCACCAGCAGTGTCCACACACAGAAAGCAGGACAGTTTCTGACAGTGCAGAAGAGAAAATTTGGCTTTTCCTGGGCAGGAAGGAAATGAGATCCTTACAAATGCTCCACAGGGAGCTGTGTGTCTGCAAGGGCAGGTGGGCCACAGCAAACCTTCAGTGCCCTGATGCCTGAGAGATCTCCCAAGCCTGGAGAAGGCAGCTCCAGCTCAGCCCATGTGCCTGAGGGGTCCCACTCACCTGCTCCAGCTCCTTTTCTGCGTGGTGCAGGACCTGGGCAGCCAGGTCCAGCTGCAGGGCGCTGAAGGAGCGCAGGATCTGCCCCAGGAGCTGCACAGCCACCTGGTTGAAGCGGGGCAGCTCGGCCACCAGCAGGTCGTTGATGGCCAGGTAGGTGTTCATGGCTGCCTCCTCGTCGTAGCTCACGCTGCCCGTCTCGCTCTTCCTCTCCTGGATCTCCTCGTAGTCCAGCAGCTTGTCCAGGCGCTTCTTGACCAGCTGCTGGGGCCCCTCCAGCATGTCTGAGAGGCTGCACAGGGGCTGCCACACCAGCCTGTCCACACGCTGCTTCTGCCAGGTGAGAGCCCCGGTTTCCACGTGAGCCCCCAGACAGGAGCAGCAGCACTGGGCAGAGTTCTGGGGTCTGTGTGGAGGGGGAGCACCTGGGACATCTTTCCCTGAGGGCACACAGGATGCCAACCAACACAAACCCTTGGGAGGGAGCCTGACACAATTCCAAACTTGTGCTCCGTGGAAAGAGCTGGGCAGGAGGCTGGAAGGGCTCAGAGCAGTCTCAGCTGAGCCTCTGCCCTCAGCCCTGCCCTGAGCCCATTCAAGGGCCCTCTGCCCCTGCCTTGGGGTGTTCTGGTCTCCTGCCTTGGGCTGTTCTGGTCTCCTGCCTTGGGATGTTCTGGTCTCCTGCTTGGGGTGTTCTGGTCTCCTGCCTTGGGATGTTCTGGTCTCCTGCTTGGGGTGTTCTGGTCCCCTCCCCATGTCCCTGGAGGCACCTCAGGCACACACTGCAGCTCATCCCAGCCCTGGCTGGGCTCGGGAGCTGTGCTCTGGCTGTGTCCCTGTCCTCCCTTGTCCCCTGGAGCTGCTCCCTCCCTCCAAGTGCCAGGGACTGCAGATGGATCCTGTTACTCGCTCCTGGCTCTGCCTGCTAGGCTGGGCTCCGGGGGACTCTGAGGACACCGGGGTGCCCTCAGCTGCTGGCTGCCAGCCCCCACGGTGCCCTGGCAGAAGGTGGGAGGGCTGAAGGAGATGGGCAGGGCAGGAGCACTCACAAACTGGGGGAAGACGGTGCTCTGGAGGAGCTGGGAGAGGCGGCGGTGCTGCTGGGCAGGTCCCTGCTCCATCTGCAGGTCACACTGGTGCGGGGTGGGCAGCAGGAACGCCTGCAAGGGAGGCAGCACCACGCTCCTTTAGCTCCTTCCCAGCTATCCTGCGTGGGCAGCCCTTGTTAATCTTTCCTGCAAGGTCTTTCCAGCCCAGGAATTGCTGCTGAACCCTCGGCCACTTCCCGAGGCTCTCCTGATAATGCTGTGTCTGGGGATTGCATGTTTTGCCAGCACTCAGACTTTCATTTTGCTCAGATGCCCCAAGGGATTTCCATGAGAAAATCGTAGCAGCTGCTGACCCAGGTGATTTCAGAAGGGCAATTTGTTGCCAGGACTGATCTGGGGACATTTCTGCCTTATACACATGATTAAAGCAAGAATTCCCAGGCTGAACAGCACCCGGCCTTTTCAATCATTTAAGACCTTGAAATAATGATAAGTTTAAGGACGGATTATTCTCAAATGACACCAGCTCAGACAGTGTTGTCAAAGCCTCAGCTTTGGTTTAAACTCCCCTGGACCTGAGCAATCCTTGGGTGTTGTGCAACTCCCTGACACAACATCTCAGCTGCAAATCCCTGAACATTCCCAACACCTCCTGCTTTCCTCAGGGCTTGAAAGTATTCCACAATCCCAAGGAACAGCTCTGGCCAGTGGTCAGGTGTTACCTCTAAGTGGCCCAGGTAGGATGCCATGTTCTCCTTCAGCGTGGCCACACTGGATGCCACACACTGGAACTTCTCTTCCAGGTCGTCATATTCCTTGTCCTCAGTCTGGAAGGAGAGAGGCAGCTTGTCACCAGCCTGGGAAGGGCTGATGCCCATCACTGGGGGCTGAAAGAGCAGCCAGGCACCTGCCTGGGGCTCACAGGGCAGGGCAGACCCTGGGGGGCTCCATGAATCTGGGGAGGGGTCAAACATTGGTGCAGGCAGCAACAAGGCTCTTGGTGTGGTCGTGGTGCTGGGGAACACTGGGGTGTCTTTACTTTTCTGGGGGGCCCAAGGGTCCTGCAAGTCCTTTGGGGGCCAAAGTGCTGCCCTGCAATGCTCTGGGGTGGGGAGTGAGGCGTGTCCCTGCATTCCTGCATTCCTCTATCCCGGTGATCATTGGGATGATGGAGAGGACCAGGAGGCAGCACCAACCACCCCGCCCCATGCTCCATACTGTCCCCACGCTCCCCACTCTGCCACTGAGGCACTTCAGGAGCAGCAAAACGCCCCAGAAACGCCCCAGGGAGGGGCAGCAGTGCCCGGGGTGTGGCGAGGGCTGCCCACCTTGGCCACGATGCCAGCCTCGTGCATGAGGAGCCGGCTGAGGCGCGTGGTTTTCTTGGCGATGGAGTGCGTGTTGAGGCGCGCCAGGCGGGCCCGCAGCGTCAGGTGCTCGGCCTTGCTGTATTTGGTTGCTGCCTCGGGTGGGAGGACACAAAATAAGGGGGGAAAAAAAAGATCAGAAGAGGAGAGTTCATGGCTGAGCAGGCGAGGAAGGTGAGCAGCACGGGGGCTGATCGGCAGGATAAGCACAAGCCACATCAAAGGAGGGAAGGAAAACCAAAAAGAAAGGTGAGCTCCCATCTCTGGGGAGCCTGATTTCTCCTATCCCAAGGGCAGGACTGTTATTCCCAGTTCTCCAGCCCCAGGAATGTGGACAGACCGGTTTTGTCCCCAGCCCCCCATGCCACTCTGCTCCTGCAGCCTTTGGGTCTTGCCCAGAGTGGCACTTACAGGACCAGAGCAGCTCCAGGAGCAGTCTGCACAGTCTGCAGCTCCACCAGGCAGGATTGGATGGAGGGCAGGAGAGCTTTGAACTGATTTAAGTGGGAATTAGTGCCCAGGAGACCACTGGGGCTGGGCTGGGCGCTGTGCCCCCCTCCTGCCCCCCTCCCTGGCCACTCACCCACTTCCCGGCGCCGTTTGTACTCGTTGATGTTGGCATTGACCTGGGCCATGGCACGAGCCGCTGCCTGCAGGGCTGAGTGGGCACTGGAACTGCTGGGGGTGTTCTCCAGGATCTTCCCCAGCAGCAGAGGGTACTTGGTGACCCTCTGCACGGGCATCACCAAGAAGAAGCTGAGGTCTGACGCGCCCGTGTGAGGCCTGATGGAGAGGGGAAGTGCTCAGGGCTGGTGTGGGGCTGCCTTCCTGCCCTGCTGCTCTCCACGGCTTCTCTGGGAGTGTTTGGGGCAGACAGCAGCCCAGATGTTGTGGGGCACTTCTGGCTGCAGGGGACTGTGTCCCTGCCAGCCGCGAGGGCAGTGCCAGCCCTGGGTGGGTGTCCTGCCTCCCTGGGCAGCGCTGTGCTTGTCCTGGGCACGGGATCAGCGGGCAGCAGGGAGGGAGGGTGCTGCCCTGGGACCCACAGGAGGCACCCATCTGTCTTTTGGGAATCACATCACCCATGCCCTCAGCAGTGAACCCCAGGAGCTCCTCCACTGCCACCGCTGCTTCTGGCAGTGTTTGTGACCCCCCTGACAGCTCAGGTCCCCCAGGGCCAGCCTGTGTCTCTCTGATCAATGTGGGGAGGATGTGCCCTCCCTGGGGGCTGTGGATGTCACCCATCCCTTCTTTTGGCATCCATCATAAATATTCTGAACCCAGGGTCCAGGACAGGCTGCCAGGATTTCCACCAGGAATTCCACCACAAAGGTGGTGGCCATGACATGACACCCAGCCTGGTGACAGACCCATGCAGGCAGCTCGTCCCCAGAGGAGAAGGGCAAAGCCAGGCTGTGGAACAGGGACAGGGAGGTGGTGGCTCAGCAGAGGGACCTACACGGTGGCACTGAGGGTGTCCAGGATCTGCTCCTGCAGCCGGGGGTCCCGGCGGTAGCTCTCCACCAGCTGCAGGGCATGGTCATAGCTGGCACAGTAGATCTTGTAGACAGCCTCCATCTCTTCCTTGAACTCCTGGAACAGCGTGCCTGGGGAGGGAGAGAGGGGCTGGACACGAGGATCTTTGCCATGGAAGGGAAGGCAGAGGGTTTATCCCCAGCCTGCTGGAAGGACAAAGCCAGTGGAGCAATGCCAAGCGTGCCAGGGCTCTGCCCCCTGGCACCCCGCAAAGCTGGGCCTGGTGCTGTCCCCATCACCCTGCAGGCTGGGCAGGTCAGCCTTGCCCCGTGGTGGCACCGGCGTGGTGGCACCAGCACTTCCCAGAGGCAAGGCAGGAGCAGGAGGTGGCAGGGCAGGGGGCTGGCACACCCCACACGGGGGGCGCGGGGCAGCCCCTGGCACTGCCCACTTACTGATGCAGAGCAGCTGCTCTTGCCCCTGGCCAGGCGTGGCCTCCAGCCCCTTCAGGAACCGTCTGGAGACATGGAGGATGTCGTCTGTGTTAGAGAAGAGTCCTTCCAGGTCCAGCTCGGGCAGCTGGAGGGAACAAAGATGCCCCAGGCTAAGCCAGACACATCAGAGATGGAGCTGGTGTCTTAGAACACTGCTGGTCACCTTCTACCTGCCCCATGGGACACCCCAGTGCGTGATGCTGTGTTTCAGGAGGCTTTGGGAATGCTGTGACATGTCTGGGCTCCCAGTTTAAGGTCATTGGGTGGCTGTACTGGGTCAGACCAATGTCCACCCAACCCCAGAGCCTGGCTGGTGAGGGGGAGCACAGGAAGGTGGAAGGAGCACCTGCAGTGATTTGGGCATCTCACAGCTCTGGACAGATTCCCCTTCCAGTGATTTGAGCACCTCACAGCTCTGGGCAGATTCCCCTGCAGTGATTTGGGTATCTCACAGCTCTGGGCAGATTCCCCCTGCAGTGATTTGGGCATCTCACCGCTCTGGACAGATTCCCCTTCCAGCGATTTGAGCACCTCACCGCTCTGGGCAGATTCCCCCTGCAGTGATTTGGGCACCTCACAGCTCCGGACAGATTCCCCCTGCAGTGATTTGGGCACCTCACAGCTCTGGGCAGATTCCCCCTGCAGTGATTTGGGTATCTCACAACCCTGGGCAGATTCCCCTGCAGTGATTTGGGTATCTCACAGCTCTGGGCAGATTCCCCTGCAGTGATTTGGGCACCTCACAGCTCTGGGCAGATTCCCCTGCAGTGATTTGGGTATCTCACAGCTCTGGGCAGATTCCCCTGCAGTGATTTGGGTATCTCACAGCTCTGGGCAGATTCCCCTGCAGTGATTTGGGCACCTCACAGCTCTGGGCAGATTCCCCTGCAGTGATTTGGGTATCTCACAGCTCTGGGCAGATTCCCCTGCAGTGATTTGGGTATCTCACAGCTCCGGACAGATTCCCCTGCAGTGATTTGGGCACCTCACAGCTCTGGGCAGATTCCCCTGCAGTGATTTGGGTATCTCACAGCTCTGGGCAGATTCCCCTGCAGTGATTTGGGTATCTCACAGCTCTGGGCAGATTCCCCTGCAGTGATTTGGGCACCTCACAGCCCTGGACAGATTCCCCTGCAGTGATTTGGGCACCTCACAGCTCTGGGCAGATTCCCCCTGCAGTGATTTGGGTATCTCACAACCCTGGGCAGATTCCCCTGCAGTGATTTGGGTATCTCACAGCTCTGGACAGATTCCCCTGCAGTGATTTGGGCACCTCACAGCCCTGGACAGATTCCCCTGCAGTGATTTGGGCACCTCACAGCTCTGGGCAGATTCCCCTGCAGTGATTTGGGTATCTCACAGCTCTGGGCAGATTCCCCTGCAGTGATTTGGGTATCTCACAGCTCTGGGCAGATTCCCCTGCAGTGATTTGGGCACCTCACAGCTCTGGGCAGATTCCCCTGCAGTGATTTGGGCACCTCACAGCTCTGGGCAGATTCCCCTGCAGTCCCCAGGCTGGCAGGGGGTGCCGTGTCACCTGCTTGTCCCGGAGGTGTGCCCGGATGTCGCACACGCACAGCTGCAGGTTGTGCACGTAGCTGGCCTCGGTGCTGATGAGCTCCTCCAGGGCCAGCCGCTGGCTCAGCTCCGTCCTGTCACAGGGCACGGCCTCGGGCACGGCCTCTTCAGCCTCGGCTGCATCCTCAGGGCCGGGCTCTGCGCTCGCCATCTCCGCAGGGCACTGCAGGGGTGGCAAAGGCAGCCCTGGGAGCGGGGCTGTGGTGCCCAGCCCAGCTCAGTGCCCGTGCTCCCTGCCCTGTACCCCCCAGCACATGCCCAGGGCACTCAGCCCATCTGCACGCTCCAAAACCACAAAGGGCTGCAAGGCAGGAGCGGGCTGGCTGCAGACACCCACGTGTGGCAGGCAGGGACTTGCCCACACCCGTGCCCACGCTCCAGTGCCCACGTGTGGGGCTGGGGTGCAGCCAAGGGGGCCCAGGTGGCAGCAGGGCCTGGCAGCTGCCACCCAGCACTGGGACAGTGTAGGGACCCGTCCCCACGGGCAGAGCAGGGTTTGCCACCTCCTCTCCAGCTCCTTGCTGCCAGGGCCAATTGTTCCCTCCCTGCCTTGGCTGCCGGCGCCTGGCACCTTGCCTGGCATTCAAGGGTCCTGCTCAAAGTACAAAGAGTGGTTCTGCAGTGCTGGAACAAGAGATGTTTCTGTGACAGCAAGAGCTGCTTTAAAAGCCACTGGGATGGGGGAGAAGCGGGCAGAGCTGCTGATGCCTCTGCCAGATGCACTGGCAGCCCCTGATACGCAATGCCAGGGCCCTGCGTGGCACAGCACATTCTCCTCTGCTCTAAAATCTGAGCTGATTCCTGACATTTTCTTCTCGGGAAACACACTCTGCTGTAACCGATAGCAGGGAGGATGAGCAGCTCCCAGAGCTCCACAAACAGCGCTTGGCTGCTGGCAGGAAGGCCTGGAGAGAGAGGTGTGGCACGGGCACAGCTGGGCTGTGAGCAGACCCCGGCAGGGCAGGAATGTGCCCAGGCTCCCTGCGGAGGAGGAGAGGAGCCAAGGCAAGGCAGAGTGGCAGATAAAAGCCAGGTGGCACAAGCAGCAGCACGGACTTTCCCCTGCCCTGCCTGCCCAGGCAGTGCCAACCTCCACAGCCAGATTGCACCATGCCAGGTGCCCACTTAGAAGGCTGCAGCCCCTCTCCCTGTCCCCCCCCGGTCCAGCTGACAAGAGGCTGATGCAGATGCTGGTTGGACCTCTGCTTGCCCGACAGGGGTGTGTCACCCTGCCAGCTGCCATCCCTGCCCTCTGGGACTTGGCTGCCTCCCCTAGCTGTGGCATGGCACTGCTTGTGATGGGACGTGGGCAGGAGGAGACTTTTTTTTCTTCTGAGGTGCCCAGGCAGAAGGATTCCCATCAAAGACCAGCGTCCCCTGCCTGGGGTGGCAGCAAAACCTCGGTGGAAAGGCCCGATGTGAGACTCCCCCTGAGCCCTGGAGGGGTGCCCTGCAGCTCAGGGCATGCCAGTGTCGGGGTGTCCCTGGTGGCTGCAGCAGCACCCCCAGAGTGCAGAGCTGCTTTGGGGGGTTTCCCCAGGCTGCAGAAACCCCGCCGTCTGCTCCCACCCCCCTGGCCTGAGACCTCAGAGGGACAAGGGTGGGGGGTTTCCCCAGGCTGCAGAAACCCCACCTGCCTGAGACCTCAGAGGGACAAGGTGACAGTGCCAAACGAAGCCGCAGGATTTCTGGGCAGCGTTGGAGCAGGCAGACAGCGCAGGAGCAGGTTTCGTTTTCCCAGCCCCTCCTCCCGGGCAGCTTCCCGCATTTGAGCTGTCACTGCTGCCTCGGCGGCTGCCAGCATCCCTGTCCCTAAGGGGGCTCCGGGCATCCCTGTCCCTAAGGGTGCTCCGGGCATCCCTGGCCCTAAGGGGGCTCCAGACATCCCTGTCCCTAAGGGGGGCTGCGGGCACTCCTATCCCTAAGGGGGCTGCCAGCACTCCTGTCCCTAAGGGGGGCTCCGGGCATCCCTGGCGGTGACGCGGGGACCGGCCGGGCCCTCCCCGACACCCGCGCACAGAGGTCGCCGGCTCCGGGCCCGCAGGTCCCCCGCGCCCCAGGAGTGTCACCCCCGCTCCTCGGCCAGCCCAGCCTGGCCTCCGCCCCCCGAAAGCCCCGGGCCCGGCTCTCACCTGCGGGCTTGCGCAGGTCGCCGTGCCCGGCCGCGCTGCCGCTGCTGCGGGCGGGGACAGCGCAGCCGCACCGGGCGGGCTCGGGGGGCTCCGGAGCGGGGGTGAGCCCGAGCAGGGGGTGATCCCGAGCGGGGCTGACCCCAGCAGGGCCGATCCCGCCGCTCCGGCCGCGGCAGCCGCCGCTCGCTCGGTCGCTCGGTCGGTCGGTCGGTGGCAGGCGGAGCGGGGCGGTCCCTGCGCACGCCCGGCGGGCGGGGGGGGCTGGCGACCGGCCCGGCTGGCACCGGCTGGCCCCGGGAGAGCCGCCCCGGCACCGGCACCGGCACCGGCACGGGATCCCGTCCGAGAGAACGGCCCCGCTCTGTATCGGCCCCCGGTGCCGCCGTCCCCGCGTCCATCCCGCCCCCGGTGCGCTGTGCCGGCAGCGGGTGCAGGGCAGGGGACACCGGGAGGGCAGGGGACACCGGGAGGGCAGGGACACCGGGAGGGCAGGGGACACCGGGAGGGCAGGGGACACCGGGAGGGCAGGGGACACCGGGAGGGCAGGGACACCGGGAGGGCAGGGGACACACCGGGAGAGCAGGGACACCGAGAGGGCAGGGGACACACCGGCAGAGCAGGGGACACACCGAGAGGGCAGGGGACACACCGGGAGGGCAGGGGACACCGGGAGGGCAGGGGACACCGGGAGGGCAGGGGACACCGGGAGGGCAGGGGACACCGGGAGGGCAGGGGACACACCGGCAGGGCAGGGGACACCGGGAGGGCAGGGGACACAAACTCGCCCCTGCCACCGGTAAGAGGGACAGGTCCCCACGTGTCCCCGGCTCGGATGTACAGCCCCAGCGGTCCCCGCTGTCCCCACAGCCCATCCCAAAGCACAGGGCTCCCGCCGTGTTATCCCAAGGTCAGGCGTGTTCCCGGCACTGCCCCTCTGCTCTGCCGTCCCTTAGCAGCTGCTCAGCCTCGGGAACGGGGGCAGAGAAAACAGAAATGAAAATATAACCGAGGAAGCTCTTGCCAAGATTAGGACATGGGGAACCAGTGCCTACTTGGCATGAAGTTGGTTATTTTTCTCTCGGTGAGGTGTTTGCATTCTTATAAACAAGCTATTGAGAAGAGAGAGGCTGTGAGGCTGCTCCCTTGTCCTGACCACAGGGAGGGGATGGCAGCACCGGGGTTTTTCCAGGCTGGCCCACAGTGTGCAGAAAGTGTCACTGTGAAAAGAACTCTGAGATTTTCAGTGACTCATGCAGGACAAGGCAGCGTCTGTAACTGGATCCAAAACTCCCCATGGGCCAGGACAAGCTCTCTGGCACCTCTTGGTCCCTTTGTGGGACCCTTTCTGGTATGGGCTGGACAGAGCAGCACGGGGACCCACATGCACCTGCTGCACTGGCTCCCAGCCAGTGCTGGTGCCACTAAGGCCACCTGTCCCTCTGCTTGTCCTGCCTGCCTCCCATCCTGCCCACAGAGACAAAACTCATGGAACTGGCTGGGTGGGTGGCTGGGGTAAAGCCCCCAGGAGGATCATCCCAGGCTGGTCTGTGCCACATGGGCTTAGGGAGTGACACGGCCACAGGAGGGACCCACACATGGCTGGGCAGCGAGGGCATTACCTGGCTGTGGCCTTGGGCACACAGATGTCCTTCCTCCCTTCAGGTGGCAGAGGGCTTCAGTCCTTGCCCAGGTGCTCTCTGAAGCAGCAAGAGGAACTTTGGGCTGGCACTGCTCCGATGCCAGGAGTTCTCAGCTCCATCTTACTGCCACATCCAACAAAGCCATGGGGACACATCGCAGCTGCTTTGCTCCCTTCAGCATGTTGGGGATGATCCAGAACAGGAACCACGAGGGAATCCCAGCAGGGCAGAGCTCCCTCCTCCCCCAGCATCTTCATCCCACCGGGCAGGACCAACACCCCCAGCCCCAGCTCCTCCCCGGCCAGCTCACACCACGGGTGTGAAATATCCCTCAGGCATATTTCCCATTCCAGTCTGCTTTTTCAGAGGCAGGATAGCCTGGCTCCAGCGAGTTCCTTGCAGGATGGGCTTGTCCTCCTTCCTGACAGCTCCTTCCCTCAGCACAAGCTGTTTCCTTCCTGCCCTGCTGCTGGCACTTCACACCTCCCGTCCAGCCCGGGCTGGGCTGGGGCTCCTCTCGCTCACCTGGGTGGCTCAGGGAGCACCGGCAGCGGTGTGACAGTGCTGTCACCACTCCAGGCTCCTCAGGAGGTGTGGCAGCAGGCTGGCTGCCCTGGCCCGGCTCTCCTTACACGAGGAAAACAAACAGGCGCCGGCTGGTCGAGCACTGGGGTGTGTGTGTGTGTGTGTGTGTCCCAGGCTGTGCTCAGCGTCTGAAGTGTCCCTGCAGGGTGGGCTGTCCCCTGGCACCCAGCTGGGTGTGCTCCCACCCTGCCAACACCAACCTGGCAAGCTGTGGCAGGGAGTGGGGTGTCCTGTGGGACCGTGTGTGGGATCCTGCCGGGAGGCAGGACTGGCTTCTCCTGCAGCAGAGCCAGCTTTGTGCAACCTCATTGCAAAACTGCTTCTCACAGAGCAGGGTGAGCCACCTCCATGGCACTGCCCAGCCCTCTCCACACCCACTGCCACTGCAGGAGTGCCCTGCCAGCCCTCCTCTGGCAGTATTTAAGGAAAAACCCAACCCCATGAGGCTGGTGGGACTCAGTGCCCTGGGACATTCCTTGTGTGATGAGCACAGCCCCAGCCAGGGCTGGAGAAGCACCCGATGATGGTTCTGGCTCAAAACAGGACGTGCTGAAAGCCTCGGGAAGAGGGAGCTGGATGGGAGGCAGGAGCATCCAGGCAGAAGGCATCACTCACCCTGGAATGGGGTTATCTCCACCTCACATCTCACCCTGAACTTGCTGGCTCCTGCAGAGCCTTCTGCTGTTCTGCCTCTCCCCAGCTACTCCAAACATTAACACTCAGGATACTGGGATGAAAGCTAAAGCCATCAGGGGGCTCTCTGGGAACGCTCCAGACAAGCTGGGAGTCAAACAGGGCTTGCTCAGAAAATAAACACAGCTTCCAGTCGTGCAAAGCACCACAGCTCAGGCTCTGCCTGAAAACAGCAGGTGGGGGGTTCCTCCCCCAGCAGCAGGTTTGTACAGGAAAGTTGCATTTCCTCCATTTAATCTCTTCCATTCTTACTGTTCTTGGGATTTCTTTCCTGTCTAGAAAGGACCTGGTGGAAAGGAAAACACAGGGAGAAAAACAGCAGCTCAAGAATGTGTTCCCAGGTGCACCCTAATCACAAAACTTCCTCCCACGCAGGGAGGCAGGGCTCGGGAGTGGACTTTGCCTGCAGCCCCACTGTCTGTGTGTGCTGTGCAGCTCCAGCCACTGGAAAGGAGGAAAAAGCCTGTGAAATTAAAGATTTTCATTCTGCTGAGCTTGCCACCAGCATGAGCAGCTCCTGAAAAACCACAGGGATGTCATTTCTTCCTCTTCCTCCTTCCCTGCCCAGCTAATGTGCTTAGGAGGGGAGGAGGCTGTGCCTGCCTGTGGGGATGATCCCAGCCAGGTGCTCGGCCAGGGCTCCCAGGGAGGGGGAAATGGTGTCAGCTCCAGGGGTCTGGATGGAGCTGCAGCCTCCAGCCCCTGCCTGCACCACGAGGCAGAGCACAGCCTAAAAATAAGCAGATAGGATTTGATCTAGGCAGAATAAATGAAGAGTCAGCTCTTTATTTGCAAGAGGGTTATTTATGGGCCTAGAGGTGTCCTTCATGCAGGAGGCATCAGCCCCTCTGGGCCTCTCTGAGGCTGCAGCATGGATCCTCCTGGATCCGTGTTTTTGTGGTTGAATCTTCACGTCCACCAGCCTCTGAGGTCCTTCCCTCTCTCCTCTGCTGCCCTGCCTTGCTTTTCTACACCAAGATCTGCATTTCTCTCCCAGGGCTGGTGACTCTGGGCCTTTCACCCACTTGTCACAAATCCCTGTAGCCAGCTGAGCCAGCTGGTGCTGCCAACAGCTCAAGGAGAAAGCCAGAGCTGGTGTGAGAGCACTGAGATATTCACATTTCTGCCCTGACAGAGGACCCTGCTCTCAGGAACATCTTGGAGCATGCAGAGGTGGGCACAGTCCATGGGCACCTGGCTGGAATGCAGGCAGAGATGGAGGTGTCTCAGCACCCTGCAGCTCTGGCAGGAAGGACAGATGTCCCCAGGCCAGTCCAGCCCCACACAGGGCCATACAAACACCCCATGTGGCAGTGCCAGTGACAACACTCCTTGCCCAAAACATCCACAGGGCACCCACTGAGGACCTTCTGCCTGCAGCAAGGAGGTAACAAGATGTGAGAAAAGTAAGAAGATCTCAGAAAATTCTGGTGGTTTCTGCTGATTACTCATTTCCACTGATCCAATACTGATCTCCTCCCTGCCTGACTTTGTAGGATTTCTGCTCCTGCTGCGTCATCACAACCACCCACCCATGGAGCTGGAACTCCACGTGAGCTCCTCCTCCTCCTCCCTGTGGGCACCCCACACCCCCGGGCACCCCGGGCACCCCTGCCCACAGCCACCCCCGGGTGCTGCCGCTCTTCTGTGCAAAGTGAGGGAGTGAGAAGCCAAGGGAGGAACATCCCCTCGAGAGTCACCTTCTGCTTTGGGATCAGACACCTCTGGAGTCCCACCAGCTCCTCCAGGCAAATTCCTGCAGCAGTGGTTGTTCTGGAGCCACAGCAGCAGTGCTGCCCGTGCAGGAGGAGCTGCAGGAGCTGGCTTCTCTTGCTTCAGAGAGAAAGGAGGGGTGGCAGGGAGGCGAGAGCCCCTTCAAGCTGCCGAGCCTGTCCCTGGGCAACCTCCCCATCCCTTTGCCCACTGGTGCACCCAGGAGTGGCTGTGCCATGACAGGGCTCGTGTCTCTGCTACAGACAAATGTGAGAGCCACTGGGTGCTTGTTTCACTGCTGAGGGCAGAAACCCAGCCCAGGGGGCTCAGCTGGGCTCACAGCACGGTGAGGACACCTAAAGCGAGGACCTGGCAGGTCACCAGCTCCAGGCTCTGCTGGGAAGGAGGGCAGGGCTGGGCAGCCCTGGGCTTTGTGCTACAGCCTGGGGAAGTTCATGGCCATGAGCTCTTTCATGCCTGGGTCCCCCTTCATTTTGGGAGAAATGATCACCAGAGGCTTCAGAGAGCTGGGGCTGGTGGGGCTGCCAGGTGCCAAGGCTGAGAAAGCAGGAAGATGTGGCTGAGCAAAGCCAGAAGGCATGAGAAGTGGTGGAGGTGGAAGGAAAGCTCCAGAGGTTCCTGGAGCCTCAGCAGCAGCAGAGAGGCTGCAGGGCCAGCTCATGGTGTTGCCCACACGTCCTCCTCTCCCCACCACGTCACATCAGAGCAGGGAGGATGTTTTACTGAAGAGGAGTTTGTTGTGGAAAAACCCCAGCAGCTCATGCCGTGGAATATAAAATGACAGCCAGGAATCCCAGTTGTGGTGGCACTGAGGTCTGCCAGCTCAGCCTGGTACAGCTCAGCATCCCCCATAGCTGTGGGGTTAGCCCAGCCTGGGTGCCAGGTACAGCTCAGCATCCCCCATAGCTGTGGGGTTAGCCCAGCTCTGGCCGTGTGGAGCTTCCTGCCAAAGTGGCAGTGCCTGTCCAAGGTCACTCTGCCTGTCCACTGCTTCTGCTGAAAGCAGAGCTCCCCTGTGTGCCAGCAGCCACTGCTTCACCTCCTCCCTCCAGCCACAGGGTGGCTGCAGTGTCAGAAGGACGTGTCCATTATTAATGAGTCTCCATTATTAATGAGACTCCAGCTCTTGCAGCTGCCCTGACTCACCAGCCCACGCCCCAGCTCCTCCCCAGGCCATGCTGGGGAGAGCCACCAGCCCTGACACCCTGTGCCAGGTCCTGCTCTGGGCCAGGGGGATCAGGGACCACCCTGCAGGGATGGGGAAGGAAAGCTGGATTGTGAGATGTCCGACCAGGCCTCCCAGCAGAGCCCCTCAGGGACAGGGGAGGGCCAGAGGAAAAACCTGCCAGGCAGAGCAGTTGTTATAGGCAGGAAAGGAAGGGCTGAAATTAAGGATTTGTTTTCACAGCTAGGGGATGTTACCTGTGGGGAACCACTGAGTTTGTCCACAAATTGTCTGGAAAAAGGCAGGGCCAGCAAAGTGACTGTGTTTGACACCAGCACCGAGCTCTTTGGGGCTGCTGGTCCATGTCCCTGAGCAGGGGACAGCCAAGGGAACTCAGGAAAGGACAGGGAAAACACCAAAAAAACAGTCCTAACACTGGTAGCCCAGTGATAGACTCTGAGTGGTGCATCTCCTCTCAGGAAGGGAATCTTGGGGGTTGTGCTAAGTGATGATTTCAAAACGCCTGGAGCAGAGAAAGCAGAAAATCGACTGTTGGAAACGAGCAGGGAAGAAGCAGAGGATGAGAAAGGAAGCCCTGGCACCGTGTGAGCTGGGCTGTGCCCACGCTGAGGATGCTGCCTGCAGCTCTCCCCGCTTCCTTGTCTCCAGAGGGGTGTGGAAGGGGCTCAGGGAGGGAAGCAGGGGTGCCCCAAGCTCTGCAGCAGCCTCTGCATGAGGAATGGCACCGTGGGCAGGAGAAGGGGTGTGATGCAGACCTGCCCTGCCTTGGGAGGCGTGTGAGGGCAGGGAGGCTGATTACTCACAGCTCTGCCCCTGCAGGAGTACAGCTCCAAACGAAACTACCCGGAGGGAAGTTTGGGACAAGGAAAAGGAAGTGGTTCTTGGTGCAAGGTGTAGTTAAACCGTGGAGCTCCCCGCCACAGGATGTGACAGATGCAAAGCATTTCAACAGGAACTGGATGAATTCATGGAAGAAAAATCCTTTGGGTTATTAAAGACAAAGAACCACCTCCTCTTCCTTAAGGCTGGAGGCCTGGGGGGAGCTCAGGGGATATTCCTGGGGCAAGAGCACTGCCAACATCTGCTGTGGGCCACAGCTAGAGCCAGAGTGTGGCTGAGCTGTGCCATGGCTCTGACGTGCTGTCCTGAGATGGAGCCAGAGATCAGGAGCTTCCTGGGAACATGGCACACCACTTCCTCACCCGAGGAACGCTGGCACCTGCTGCACCCCAAGGCTTGTTCACCTTGTGTGAACACTGAGCACTCCTTCCTTCCTTCCTTCCCTTCTGGACTGAGCCTTTTTGTCTCTCTGCACAGGGGAG